CAGGGACCCTATAAAGATGAGGACACGGCTGGGTGTGGATAAAACGTGCGTTCCACCCGCCAATCAGAATTCAGCTCCCTAATTTCCCAAATCCGTTTTCCCTTTTATTTGCCCTAATTTCTCAATTCCAATCTGTAGCATTGGTCAATATTTTAGTACTGACCAATTCTTCCTCCGTCCTTCCCCTTTTCAACCTACGCGCACCCACCACACTCCTTTTCTTCCCCAAAGACCCAGCATTCCTTCAACAGTTCCTACTGCAATTCTCCTCCTCCCTGGATTCTGGGGATTTAAATTTGGGTCTGGGGTTTGAGCTTAATTCGTAATCATGGCGTTTTCGAGTGGTTTTGCTACGACTTTTTCTGGTTCCAAATGGGAGATGTTGATTCTCAATTCGTCTTCTTCTTCTTCTTCCTTGAGGGCTTGTTTTCCTTCCCAGCAAATGAAGCCCTTTTGCAGGTTCAATAGGGACAGGAGGAATTTGGTTCAGAAGGGTGTTGTCAGATGTGAAGTTGCTCAATCCGATGCCACTTTGGGGTCCGACAAGATCGAGCCTTCTAAGGCCGCCGCCGTCGTCTCCGCTCTCGAGCAGCTCAAGACCTCCGCTGCTGATCGTAAGATTGCTCTCCATTTCTCTTCCCTTTCATTTCCATTCGGTAGTTTTTTTGCTAAATTCATCATTTTCGTTGTTTTTATTTTCTCGATCTCATTCTGGGTTGTTCGAAGTTTGCTTAATATGATCTCTCATTTGATGAAAATTAGTGCAATTTTTCATGCCGCCTTATGATCAAAAGGTTGACTGGTTCATATTAGGAGCTCTGAATAGATTTGGCTTCTATGCTTCAGCTGAGAGGGAGAGAATTTTCAATATACAGTTTCCAAACCTGTATTTTAGTAAGCTTGTGCAGATTTGACAAAAAATTTGTTGCAAATTATAGAATCCTTTTTATATAAACCGTCCTAGACTCCTAATGGTGAACAGATTTGTGGGATGCACCTGAAATTTTGGGAGTTATTGCTATGGATTTGTGTGAATTAAATTGTTGTCATGAACACTGCTACCAGAGTTTCTCTATGTATGGTTTGATCCCATATTCCTACTAATATTTACAAAAACCATCATAACCATATCTCTTTCTTCAAAAAGAGATGTTATCTCTTCGTGTTTTGTATACGGTATTCAGTTGCAACTTGGGTTTGGGGTCCAAGGTCATTTTATTTATCCATAGCTGAGCCTGTGACTGAAAATGCATATTCTGAGTACTTTATTCAGTTTGGGGCTTAGTTTAATATGTAAACTGGAAAATTTATTTCAGATAGTGCAGTAAATTGTAGTTTCATAATGCAATTTGTGTTATCATTGCATGCAATTTTTCCTGTTTTGACTGTTTTACTGAAAATATCTCAATTGTTACATGTCAGGATATACGAAGGAAAGAAGTAGCATTGTTGTCATTGGGCTAAGTGTTCACACAGCACCAGTGGAGATGCGAGAGAAGCTTGCCATTCCAGAAGCAGAATGGCCACGAGCCATTGGGGAGTTATGCAGTTTGAATCATATTGAAGAGGCTGCTGTTCTTAGCACCTGCAATCGAATGGAGATATATGTTGTAGCTCTGTCTCAGCAGCGTGGGGTCAAAGAAGTTACTGAATGGATGTCGAAGGTGTCCTTTCCTTCTTTCTTGCACTATCATTTGAACTTGGATAATTTCAATTTTCTATTGAATTGATTTTTGATTATTTATTTATTTGATTTGGAAAAAGAAAGAAAACATGGGGTCATAAGCCATGGTTGATGTGGAAACTATGAGTTTTGAATGTCCTCATCCTGTTGTTACTTTGAATGATTTATCATGTGAACCTTCTTAAAGTCATCTAGCCGAATCCCCACCCTTCTTGTTTGCCCTTTTTTTTGGCATTATTCTATTCATGCATTCAAACAGACACAAAATTAGCTTAATGTCTAAACTTGATTTGATTTTTGTGTTGGTTCCTAAACTAGTGATTCTCTTGCAGACTAGTGGAATCCCAGTTTCAGAGATTTGTCAACACCGGTTTTTGCTGTACAATAAGGATGCTACGAAGCACGTCTTTGAAGTATCAGCTGGTCTTGACTCCCTTGTTCTCGGAGAAGGTCAAATTCTTTCCCAAGTTAAACAAGTTGTCAAAGTTGGGCAAGGAGTTGTTGGGTTTGGAAGGAATATTAGTGGGCTGTTCAAGCATGCAATTACTGTTGGCAAGCGGGTTAGAACAGAGACTAATATTGCTGCAGGGGCTGTTTCTGTTAGCTCCGCAGCTGTTGAGCTGGCCTATATGAAGCTTCCTGAATCATCACATGCTACTGTCCGAATGTTGGTGATTGGAGCAGGGAAAATGGGGAAGCTTGTGATCAAGCACTTGGTAGCAAAAGGGTGCACAAAGATGGTGGTTGTTAACAGAAGTGAGGAGAAAGTTGCAGACATCCGTGAGGAGCTGACAGGTGTTGAGATTATCTACAAGCCTCTCACAGATATGCTATCTTGTGCAGCTGAAGCTGACGTGATCTTTACCAGCACAGCATCAGAAACCCCATTGTTTCTGAAAGAGCATGTTAAGGATCTCCCTCCTGTCAGTGAAGAAGTTGGGGGTTTGAGGCTTTTTGTTGACATCTCCGTACCACGAAATGTTGGGTCATGCGTCAATGATATTGAAAGTGCACGAGTTTACAATGTCGATGACCTTAAGGAGGTTGTTGCTGCCAATAAAGAGGACCGGCTACGGAAAGCAATGGAAGCTCAGGCCATTGTTACGGAAGAAATAAAACAGTTTGAAGCTTGGAGGGCTTCCCTTGAAACAGTACCTACCATCAAGAAATTGAGGGCCTATGCAGAGAGAATTAGAGTTGCGGAGCTAGAGAAATGCTTATCAAAGATGGGTGATGATATCCCAAAGAAAACAAGGAGGGCCGTTGATGATCTTAGTCGTGGTATTGTGAATAAACTTCTTCATGGTCCAATGCAGCATCTGAGGTGTGATGATTCTGATGGCCGAACACTGAATGACATCCTGGAGAACATGCATGCGCTTAATAGAATGTTTAGCCTTGAATCAGATCTATCTCTTGTTGAGCAGAAAATTCGAGCTAAGGTTGAACAAAATCAGGAGTGAATTCCTACACAATTTCTCTTGCCAGGCACTTCTTTCCCTTCCTCTAAAATTGAATAAGTGGACAACTTAGCTTGTCCAGAGATCTTTCCATTCATTTATTGGCGCAAGACGCATTTTTCTAACTCATCTGCTTTCTTCATGTGCCCAGAATGCGTTCGTAGTGTTCCCTCTCGGCTTTGTACGATACAACTGAGGAAACTGGAAACTACGAGGCGAACCCGTATATTGATTTGCTTATGTGTTCCCTGTCGGGAACAATATTACTATTTTGTAAAGATTAATTGACTGCTTATATTAATGTAGAAATGGGTTTATACTTTTTGGTAATCATCTTTGTTGGTATGTCTCCCGTTATACCTATAGTAAAGCTTTTGCAGAGCAGCTCTTAAGCTTCAAACTAGCATTCCATTTTTGAATGACGATGTATCTGGACTTCACCTATGTTATCGACCATATTTCTCAAAACCTCGATGGCGTTGACAAACCTTCCTTCAACACAGCTGCGTGGTTACGCGTTGAACACCCCGTTCTTGCTCACTCAATTGCAAGCAACAGCACCCCATCTTCACCCTTGAATTCTCCCCCACAAGCCTGTCTCCTCATTCAGCTTCTTTCTTCGTCGCCCCCATGAGATACCCCTTTGTTGACATCAAGCAACCTCCCTGGTCCACTAGTCCATATTACTAGCCCATTCTTACTTCTAAACTGCAACAAATAATCTCGGGTCCTGTTAGGTCAAGGCTTGTACATGGGCCAATACCTTCAATGTGAGTGGGCTGGCAAAATTGGAATTCCTTCCAATACAGTAAGGTAGAAACATGAAGGAGTTTTTACCCAAAAAAAAAAACACATAAAGGAGAAATTCTGATTGAAGAGACGAAGCCAATGTTAGGCCAAGGTTTTGGCTACCACTAATCTTGTTAAGACAATTAATTTTATTAATTTATAATTTTTTAAAATAATTAATTATGATATATAAAAATTAATTGTAATTGATTAAATAATAAATATTATTTATTTTAATAATTAAATTAAATTAAATTAAAATTTTGTTGCACTTGGATCTTTGGATCCAATGACATCAGACCGCTACGTATAAGTGCACTCTCCCACCTTTAAGGTAACGATTCGAATCTATTTGTTTGCGAATTTGTTCAAAAAAAAAATATATATATATATAATTTTGTTAATTTTAGGGGACTGGCAATAACCATGGCCCTAATGTAATGAACCTCTAAGCTGTAAGCTCCAATTGTACTCCCCACGTTAGTCACTTGGGTAGCATCTACACATGAGCCGTAGCTGTCGATATCTGGCCGAAAAATCCCAACCGTCGATTGATTCGTGTGATGTGGGGACTCTGATTCGGGGACAGTGGACCATGCTTACTGAACGTACGTGGACCAGAATTGAGTATAGGTCACATATAGCTGTTAGGTATTAGTGGTACATACTACAAAACATAGCAGGAACTGCCAACAACGGGGCCTTAGGACAGCAACCCTACGGAGCGGAAATGGTGAGTCTTGACTGATTGGACCGCTGAGAGGAAGCCTTTTGGTAGCTACCAGCTAGCATTCATGCAATTCCTATCTCAGCTATCATCTTGGCATCCAAGGTTTGTATTTGTTGTTAAATGGGTGTGTTTGTAAGTAACATTCAGAATTTAAGTTTTGAGTGAGTAAATTAAAAAAGTGAACTTACTTTTTTTTTTTTTTTTTTACAAGGGTAATAATTAAAAAGTTAATGAGTTAATTGTTAGCAACTGATTTTTAGATCGTGTGAACATTTCACCCCCTCAAATGAGGCGTGCGGTCATCAAATCACTTTTTGATAGAGTGATAAGTTAATATTTATTTTAAAAAAATTGAGTCTAAAACTTAACTTGTAGATTAAAATAGGTTCTATTTATTTTTTATTTTAAAAAAACTTGACTGTCGTTACAATTGGATGGAGAATAGTGTATAGGAATTTGCCTTAAATATTATTGAAGGAGATGTTAATTTTAAAGTATTCAAAAGTTAATGTAAAAATACTTTGATCA